ATTAAAGTTATTTGTTGAAAAATATTTCTCAGATTGTGTTTGTTTGTTGAAAGAGAGATGAGATTTACCCTTAAGAAGTGCATTTATTTAAAAAATGCTAGCTAGCTTAAATGCATCCATGTCATCGTTTAAATGAACTAATTTCATGTATAGCAAAGATATTTTTGTATTTAATATAAATTTTAAAAAATTTTAGAGACCACACTAAAAGTCACATGTTCAATACATTTCGTCTCTTTATCTGGCGTTTATAGGTCATGGCTGATACATCTGTTTTTTTAATTATTTTTTTTCAAATAATGATAACATCCATTCGAATTTGTTGATCCACTCTTCATAAATTCATTCATTAGTTATTATTAGCTTAAAGTATAATCAAATACGTTGTAAGATTATCTTGATAAATCCGTATTGCGTTTATTTATTCTATTGAAATTCAAATTAAAACTGAAAAAAACATTGTTATAATTTATATAAGTAATCATAATTTTATATAAAACCTAAACCTGGAGTCCAAACATTTTTCTGATCGAGAGCACATTTATAGGTTAATATTCAAGTAGTGGGCACCAAGTTTTGTTCTATTCTTTTTTCTTTAATGATTTATCATTGTTAATAATGATAAATATTTTATAACATATTATTTATATTCTCATATCAAATTAATAACTATTTAATAATATAATCAAAATACAATTTTTTTTTTCATAGGAAATATAAATGCTAAAAAAGATAGTGTGATATTTGTACTGCAGTTTATTGGTCAGTGCTTTATACTGAACATTGACTGTAAAATAATTTCAAATAGCTATGATATCAATAGTCACTGTTTTCAAAGAAACAGGATTATATTTCTTATCAACCGCTTATTACATATTTTATTTTTTAAAAACTTGTTGAACAGTAACAATGCAGTTACCGACTGCCATTTTGATTGTTATTACATGTTAGAATTGGCCACTAGCAGATTCAGGATTTAATTTTGCTGGGGCTTCGGCCCAAAAGGTTTATATATATATATTACGATAATTACTTTAGAAGAAAAAGAAACAAACTAAGTACCTATACAAAATGTTGTTTATGTGGATTCTTTTAATACTTTTCATAGATCATTTTTTTCTTAAAACATGGTTACATTTTACCACTTTTATGGGGAGAGGGGTTTAGCCCGAATGCCCCCCTCCCCCGCCTGTGGGATAGGCGGTCACAATGGTGTTCGTTGCCACCGGCTTAGGAATCCTAGGCTACGGATTAAAAGTTCCAAATGTTCATCTTTATTCTTTTATACACTGAAAGTTTACTTTTCCGTGGTTCTATTTCTCATCTTTGGAACCATACCTGTTCTTTTTAACAAATATGCAAAAATGACATAACATTTTCTTGTCGTTGCATCCTTAAATTATTGTTGAATATTTAATAGTTGACCGTTGCATTATAAAGGAAGGAGATGGTCCGGGGTTGCGGTCATACATAGGCTAAATAATGGTAAAACTATTTTATTGAAAGCCGACGATCCGACCCGACTTTGCAGGTCTTCTTCAGGGCTAGAACGGACAAGATACAAAAAAATAGAGAATTGTGGTAGTTACATAATATTTAGACATAATTATTATTTTTGGTCTCCTTTTTTCTTTTCTTTCTCCACATTCCTTTATCTCTATTATTTCATATTATATCCTTTTTCCTTTTCTTTCAATCTCTCCTGTAGATTTGGTAGAAGTATATTCACATTTTCATTTATTATATATTACACTACAACAATTGTTAGCATCTATTTACTTAAGTTTAGGATCTTGTTACTCAGCTTACCTTGTTCATATTTTATTGTACTTACTGTTTATAATTTTAATAAGCTTATTCACATTGTTTATAAATTATGTCTAAATATTATGTAACTGCCACAATTCTCTATCTTTTTGTATCTTGTCCGTTCTAGCCCTGAAGAAGACCTGTAAAGTCGGGTCGAAACGTCGGCTTTCAATAACATAGTTTTGCCACTATTTAGCCTATTTATGACTCCAACCCCGGACCATCTCCTTCCTTTAAATTTTTGTTACTAAAATACAGATATTGTTCTTGCTTACGTCCCTTTTTTTTTTTTATAAATGATCCCTTAGTAGCGTCTTAAGTAGTTTTACTTCAACAATTATTTTAGCAGCTACTCTGATTCAAAATTATTGAAATTTGTACAGCATAATATCGGAGGTCGTATTATTTAAAAATATCCGAATCCTTTGAAACAGAATAAGGTCATCCAATGAAAAGCTGACGTAACGTAAAAACTTTGACCCCTTTTCGGGCCACCGTGTTCTGTGGGGGTAGCAACCCCTAACTGAATCTGACCGTCCAGCTTGGGGTGAAATCGATAGCAGGAGGTCACTCACTTCTATACGGTTTCCGGGAATCCTTCACCTGATTTTAGGTCATGAGTATTGACCGCGGTCATAATGTTAGTAGCGATTTATAATTTACATTTCTAATATATATATATATATATATATATAAATATATATATATATATATATATATATATATATATATATATATATATATATTAGTATTGACATGTTGAGTACAAATTCAAAATAATTGAAAATTAAAACTCATGATTTTACTCCTTATAAAATTGCAGATAAAAGGTCATCAAAAAATAATGTTTCAAGATATTATCGATATTAGTTATCTTACAAGAAATCCTTTTGTAAAACTCAATTTAATAATAAAACAAATTTAATATATTATTTTATCCATGAAAGATCTAGGGCTGACATTTTATATGAAATTATTATTCATTGATAATCAGCTTGAAATTATTAAAGGCAGAGAGAGAGTGAAAGAGAGATATTATATAATATATAAGATCAGTATAGAAAATTTAATGCCTAGGGCTATAAAAAGTATTCTTATATTATTGTCTTCTATATTAAAAAAAATATTAAGGTGACAACATAATGATTTTCCTTATTCCTATTTATAATTAAAAAAAGTTTAACATATTTATTTATTTCATCATTCTTCTTTTTTTGGGGGGGAGGGAGAAGGGGGAGATCTTTATTATACAGCTCTAGACAGCTTTTACATAGCTAACTCAAATTGCTAAATTGAATAATAATTAGGTTTAAATCGAACAGATATGATTTAATATTAGTTAAAGTTAAATATAAAACAAATTAACAAATACGCGATCCACGGAAGGAGATTAAACATTTTTAAAAAAATCAAAAAAGTACTTTTATTATAAAAATTAATATGTTTTATGTAAATTTACAGTCGAGAAAACATTCGAATATGTTTTCATTCGCCTTTTGACCAAGGCTTAACTAAAAACCTATTAATATTAAACGTTTATTGATTTCTTAAAAAGCACATGACATGAGCGATTGTACCCTATGATCGATAATTCTATTGTATTTTTTATGAGATTAAAATTACTGTATTTTTTTTTCTTTATCCTTGTTATAAAAAACCTTGACTTTCATCACGAATATTAATTAAATTCTGAAAAGTCAGAAATTCAATAGAAATGATGTCATTATATCTTATATCGTTGCCTTCTATATTTAGTAATATATTTAATATATAGATTAATAATATATATAAAATAGAGTAATATATATAAAATATAGATTTACTATAATATTTAGTAAAATATTATAGTAAATCTAATAAATCTCAAAAATTAATTATGTGCTAAACACTTTGTTCCAGTACTAAAATTTGTAACAAAAAATGTAAAAAGTATAAGTCATTAATTTTTTGTATGAATACTGAAAATTTTAGTATCTATTAAATTATCTTGCCCGTATTGTATTAAAAACTATCCTAATTTGTGACTTACCATACATAAATTTCAGTTAAAAAAAACCGTACATCGAAAAGTATATATATATATACTTATCGATGTACGGTTTTTTTTAACTGAAATTTATGTATGGTAAGTCACAAATTAGGATAGTTTTTAATACAATACGGGCAAGATAATTTAATAGATACTAAAATTTTCAGTATTCATACAAAAAATTAATGACTTATACTTTTTACATTTTTTGTTACAAATTTTAGTACTGGAACAAAGTGTTTAGCACATAATTAATTTTTGAGATTTATTAGATTTACTATAATATTTTACTAAATATTATAGTAAATCTATATTTTATATATATTACTCTATTTTATATATATTATTAATCTATATATTAAATATATTACTAAATATAGAAGGCAACGATATAAGATATAATGACATCATTTCTATTGAATTTCTGACTTTTCAGAATTTAATTAATATTCGTGATGAAAGTCAAGGTTTTTTATAACAAGGATAAAGAAAAAAAAATACAGTAATTTTAATCTCATAAAAAATACAATAGAATTATCGATCATAGGGTACAATCGCTCATGTCATGTGCTTTTTAAGAAATCAATAAACGTTTAATATTAATAGGTTTTTAGTTAAGCCTTGGTCAAAAGGCGAATGAAAACATATTCGAATGTTTTGATGACTATGAATATGAAGGACTACTTTATATAAAGGATACAGTTAAGGTTGTTATGCTACTAGTTTTCATTGTTTATTTGTTTTTTATTTTTTATTTAAGTGATCTATATTGACATGTTTATAAAATAATTTTGTATTTAAAGTTAAAAATACTTTCTAACTAGTTCACTTGAGGTAGTTGTTCAAGTTATATAACTTTTTATGGCAAAGCCTTAGATACATACAGAAGGTCGAATACTTATTAACAGGTCTGTTCTGATACAAGTTTTTAATATAAGCTAACTGTAAAACGCATGCGCAGTGCGGTTTTTTGGACGGGAAAACTGCATTGCGCGTGCGTTTGACAGTTTGTTAGTAGTCAAAATTCGCGAGAGAAAAGACCTAATATTTCAATAAAGAATTCCTTACTACTTTTAATCACTTAAAAGGACTTTATAATTTTTGTTTATTCAATACATATTTATTTTATCAGTTCTTAATCATTATTTATGAAATGTTACAGATGGGTATGCGAGGATTTTCCTGAGCTGAAGTTACCGTTAGAGAACAACATACTCTCGGATTTCGATACTAAAAGGTAACATTTGTTTTTAAATTATATATTTCTATGAAAAAAAAAAACCATAATGATATTAATTGATTAAATTCGTTTCGAAAAACACAATGCGTTTTTCTATATTTAATTGTTTTCATTTTATCCTTGGATAAAATTAACACTTTGTGTGTGTATGCCTGTGCGTGTGTGTGTTTATTTACACATACACATATGAAGTTTTATGAAGCAAGCTGTTATATAAATTATTAAATTATTAAACGTGTCAGTTAAAAAAGAAATTCTTAGTTGAAAAAAAAAACAACTCTTTTTAACAAAACCAAAGAGATTAAAAAATTAATTATTAAAAGAAAAAATAAGCGATTTAAATTAATACATATGTTTTATTTTGTTTTTTTAATTTGAATATTAATTTAGAAGTAATTGATTTTGATTTTTTTTTAATGATTGCAAAAATAAAATATGTATGAAGAAACGTAATTATTTAATAAAAATTCCAATGTTGATGGATTAAAGTCCAATATTGACATTTTATTGCAACGATATAAAAAAAAAGTGGCGCCCTAAAGGTTCTGACCACATGAATCAAGGCAATACGAATAAATAGATTCTCAACACAAGTAGGTATCTAATAAAATCATCTACTTGCTTGCATTATTGTTCAAGAAACATTACCCCCTTTTCCAGTACATACTCAAGACTGACTCTTTGTTTTAGAGTACGTTTATTTTTTTAACCTTGTTCATTGAGAAATATTACAATCTGTCTTAATTAAGGACGATTATAATAGAGATAAGAGAGCACATTCGCACCATATTTTCATAAAGCAATTTAATACGTTGAAATAAAAACAAAATAAAACATATGTGTTATTAAAAAAATTATTATTTCTATCTAAGTCGTAGTAAATACCCACATCACTTTTTTTTCTTTAGTCTTAGTTATATTTCCTGTATGCTTTATATAAACTCTATCATTTCTCTTACAATAATGTGATGATATTAAATATTTACTAGTTATAAACAAGAAAAAAATGACAAAGGGTGGTGGCCAAGTTTTTTTTTTGCAGTATAAACTCATTTTTTTTTTAACTATAATATAATTGTAACATTTTATATAAATAGGTCAATAAATGATTTTAGTCAGATTAAAATTAATATTTCATCAAAATAATGTTTTATACCATATGTATAATTATCCAACCTTTAAATCAATAAAATAAATAATCAGAACAAAAATTAGAAAATTGTTATATCTTTATTTATTATAATAGTATCAAATTAAAAATATAAATCCTGAAGTTAAAATTAATGCCTTTATTAGGCACAGTTGCTGAGTCAGAAACCCACATATAATTAAGCTTTGTAGTTTTATTAATTTTTTAGTAATATTTCATTTCATTTATTATTGCTTATTTCAACCATTCATTGACTTCATTATTAAATTAATTGATCGACTGACGGGCGCAAGCATGCCACGCCATGAATATATCATGAAGTTCTGCAAGTGACCTTAATTACGCTTCATATTAAATAATATATCATATCGATTACAGTTGGTACTACTTTCTTGTATCTCTTATAATAGAGGTAATTTTTAAGTGTTTCATTAGTAAGATAATACATATATTAATTTTTAGATATAGTTTTTTTTTTTTTTTGTATGATGATATTAATATACTTATTAATTTTATGTTAGAAATTCCTTGAAAAAAGTCATATGAACGTTAAAATATTCCATTTTATCATGTTATATATTTTAAGATACATTTTACCTTAATTAGCTAATGCTAAAAACCTTGCGTGCATCGATAACGAGATTCGTGCTAATAATAAATGGAGGGGAGTTCGCATGAGAATTCATTGTGCTATAAATAAAGTGCCGTATCAAGTAGCACTCCCTCTTCTGTAATTTACATTCGCACAGCTGATTCATTCACAACGCTCACAAGGACGCAGGCAGGATATTATTCAAAATAGTCGCTGTTAAATATATTAATTAATTTTTATTCCAAGGCTGAGGCCGTGTTTGCTGAGACAAAAGAGCTGCAAAGATAGAAAGAGAAAAATAACTTTACCCTGAAACAAAGTCCCTAAACGGTAACAGTTACATGTTAAAGAAAAAAAAAAACTACTACTGGCCAGAAGAACTGTTACATAGAATAAATCAATAGGTAAGAAACTTCAAGTGAACTGAGAATATAAACAGGACCAAACTAATGAAAATATTTACAAAATACTTGGAACTACATAAAGTACAAATAATGAATAAAAAATATAACCACTGCTCAGTTAAAAAAAAATAAAAAATGTAGTAAAGAATACAATAAATTCATCTAATAAATGAGCACCGAGTATCGAATAAATACAAGGAAATTATAACTGTTATTTAAATAATTTTTAAATACATATGTATAATAACTGTGTAGTCAAGATAAAGAAGAAAAATGCCAATAGGAGGCATAATAATTTATTCAATCTCAGTATACTTTAAAAAATACATAGGAAAAATAGGAAGAAAATAGATAAATGAAGTATCTTTAAGAGCATAGTATTCTTGTAGAACAGACTGACATATTATGAAAAATATATTTACGAGATCATATTATTCGTAAAAAAATTTATATATATATATATATATATATAACAATTTTTTTTTTAACATTGCACTGTTACTTAATACGTGTTTTGCTGGTTTTTGACTGTTGTATTATTTTGTTTAGATACAATTTTAAGAGATAAGATAACAAAAAAATTTCAAACCCGATGTACTCTAGTACCCTTTCTCAGTCTCCGCAGGCCGATTTCAATCACGGGGCTGAAAGATAAGCGCTGGGATCTCCTGGAGTCTTGCTTTGACTACCACATAAGGGGGACAAAGCCTGGCTCCGAGTCTCTTGAGCGAATGTAAATATTTCATATAGATATGAAAGCATTTTATATAACTTTTTTTTTTTGCATTCAACTTTAATTTCCTTTTGTGTTATTATAACTCTTTATATATATATATATATATATATTTGTTTATTAATTTTTTCGTCATTTTCATTCATCTTAGACATAACAAGAGAGCAATACCTTAATTAAAATATTATGAAAACGAATTAATGTAAAAGAAAATGTTTATCAGCTTTGTACATTACCGAAAATGAAAATTCTGTCAATGAAAATATATTCATTTATTTAACGCTGAACCGATTGATTGGAATTTAAAAGATCTTATAAATAAATTTTAAATGATCAACACAGTCATGCCAACACGAGTAGCAAATTATCATTTCAAATATTTGCTTAGAGACAATACAAATAAGAGAATGATATAAAACTGAACAATAACAATAGTGATTTATTTTTTATTATACCTTTTGGATTAAATTGGTTATTTACCTAGGAATGCAATTTTATTATTGAAATTAATAATAAAAATACGGAAGAATGTGAAAAAGATATTGAAATAGTCGTAATAATAGTGGCAAAAGACGTAATAAAACAGCAATACAGAAATTACATAAAACTATTTTTATAATCAAATATTAGATTTTGTACTGAATCAGAATAATAACTTATTATTATCCTACACCTCAATCGTCACTTGTAAATCCTGTTTCCAGGACATCGTCAACAACTTGAAAAGTTGGTAAAAATAAATGCTTTTTCTGAATTACATTTTTATTGGCTTTCGGTCTGAAACCCCTCAAAAAAAAAAAAAAAAATGATAAAATAACCATTTACTATGAAAAAAATTATCTCTAAAAGTATTATTGTTCATGTAATTACATTTAACTTCGAGAATCGGTTTAACACCATTTCATATAGGTAGTTAGGATGTTTCTTCCTCTTTTAAAGTATTAATCGTTATATATATGTATAATCCTAACTACCTATATGTTTCTTCCTCTTTTAAAGTATTAATCGTTATATATATGTATGTACATATATATATATATATATATATATATATATATATATATATATATATATAAGCTTTCGGACTGAAACTCCCCCCAAAAAAATTAAATCCTAGATCCGCTAGTGTATCGTCCTAAGTATGTCGATTGATTAGAGAGTCAATATAAAATAGGAGTAGTATATAGATGCAATATAGAGAATTTTTCAACATTTAAAATTGTATTGTAATGGAAAAATTTTCGTATGAAAAATTTACTTCCACGCAACGAATGTAGTTTTTTTTCGCAGTTATGGCTGTAGGTAACCATTCAATCATCTGTTTTTTCACAAGAAGCTCGTCAACATTGCGTGTTCAGGCTATTTAGTGATTTAACTCAATGGCTTCGCTGAACAATGAATTCCTCCTTCGTCCAATCCTTACGACATAGAATCCATTGTAAAATCCTGAATTATTATGTCACAAATAAATTTATATAGATGTAACATAAGTTGCTGATTCGGGGCGAAATAGATGCCCAAATATCTTTCCACTAAAGCCTTAATACTTATTATAACCCAATACATTTCTACCTTGTTTCCCAATCGATTCCTAAATATCCCCTGATGCTTCTGAAAGGAGGATGGCTTGAGGACCTTCTACAATGGAACGTTCTTTGTAGTTTTATCAGTGTGAATGAACTTTAGGTATTACTGTCGACTTACAGTACAGAAATATTTGTGTTAAACTATTTTTTTATAATAAGAACGTAAATATAATAGGAGTCAAATGCATTATGTAATTACCTGGATATCCTCTGTAAACGGATTCAGCTGAAGATTTTACAAGGCCTGTTGAACTGATGGCCGTGATGCACCTGCTTATTCCTATTCCGGTCTTGTCCTCTCTCTCTAAATTCCTCGGCGATACTCTTTCCCCTCCTTCTTTTTCCTCTCATCCTTCTGGTGCCAATGGTCTTACGCATTTATCACTTGTCTTATATCCACTAGACATGGTTGGAACCACGAGAAGGAACAGCAGAATGATTACTAGTTCTGATAAAAATATAAATTAAAACCTATAAATATTCCAAATATAAATTTGACCTATTTTATAAAAACGGACAAGCAAGAAGTAACACATAAGATTTGACAGCATTCCCATTGATATTTTAGTTAGGTGGAGTCATCTCACGCCCTTTAAATTTTTAGTAAAATCCTATTAAACTGAATTATATACTCCTGTCGTAAATTATACGGTCTCTTCGTCTCATTTTCGATTCGATTGTTTGGGTCAAACAAAATGTTATACCATTGCGTATAGCTATATCGTAACATGACAACGATATATATACAGCAAGCAGTAAGAATTGACCTGCAGTTTGCAAATATCCTAAGCTTGTAGTCGAATGTTTTTAGGACGGACAGGATTTCTACGCGCAGACCCACTTCGGGTGAAACCATGACCTACCTCAACCTCCTGGCTAAAACGGACTCTACAGTGATTAAACTTATAATTCAACAGAAATAAAGATTACAACTTGAGCCATTGATATACATAATACACTTGCAGATGTGATAATTCATTCATAACTCTAAAAATAAATTCATCAATATATTTTATAATTTCTTACAAAACTTTAAAAACGTAAATTTCTTCTGTAAAATATCAAAATAATAAGTGAATAAATAATTGATATTTTGAATAATGGAAAAAAAATTAATATGTAAGATCAGCTAGTACGACAAAGATGCTGAATGTTGGAGTCCTCTTTTTTTTTTTTTTTTTTTTTTTTTAATTTCCATTATGTCCCTAGAGTTACAGGTTTATTAAAAGCTAAAACAAAACAATCTATAAAACTCAATTTTGACAATTTTTTAATCTTTAACGTTCTTTTATACCACGAGCGATATGACCAGGACCCGGTTACCTTCATCTTGCTTTGAACATGTAAATAAAATATAATAAATTGCATAGCTACATTCCAATGCAAATCAGCAATTACCGTTTCTAAAATAACGATTACCGTTTGTGAACGTTGTCTGTACTCAATCCCAACGTTGTAGTCTTACCTCGCTCAAATCACAAATTATTCCTTCTGTTGTTACTTTATCTGCATTCATTATAGGTCAACAGGTGCACGAATATCTATATTTCTTTCCCCGAAACATCGTCGCCCATGGACCAAAGCTCAGGGGGACTACTGACATCCTGGTAAACCACATTCTGATTCCCGATTTAAGTACACGGAGTAGTCGCCCGGTCGGTGTGAGTTACCTCCAGTAGGCAGACGGGTCATATATACCGGGGAGGAGGATTCTCGGGCAGCGTGGCTTTCCCTTTTGGATCGTCTCCCAAATCGGGCGGACACCCACCCAAATACTAATCACGCTCGGCGTTGCTCAACTTTGATTACCTATTGCAAGCGCCTTAGCCCTTACTGCTACCCCAGCCCTATATATATATATACACACACACACATATATATATATGTGTGTGTGTGTGTGTGTGTGTGTGTGTGTGTGTGTGTGTGTGTGTGTGTGCGTGTGCGTGTGCGTGTGCGTGTGAGTAAATCATCCATCCACGCTCAACGTTACTTACCTTAAATTACCTATTGTAAGTGCCTTAGCCCCCAAAGCTACTATATATATATATATATATATATATATATATATATATATATATATATATATATATATATATATATATAAATGTGTGTGTAAAAAAAACATTTTAGCCTTTTAAACTTATTCTAATGTTAAAAGGAAAATGTTCGTTATTTTATGTTCCTTTTTAAAATGAAACTTTATGTTGATTTAAGCACCCTTAAGCAAAATCTTGGAACTGAAAACATGTTTTAGAAACGAAGCGCTTTGTCATCATCTTACGATCGCATGCTGATTCATGCACTTTCACGGCCGTCTTAACGTTTTGCTGTTTTAAAAATATTAGTAATTATATTTTATAAAAGCATTAAGGATAAAGGTCATATAAATTAAGTTTATAAAAAGTATATACGTATCCGAAAAATAGGAGTGTAAATATATACTTACACACACACACACACACACACACACACACATATATATATATATATATGATAAGTCATTAATGAACAATTGCAATGGTTAATGCGGTAGAGACTGCTGAATTGGACGACATGTAAACCTTGTTTTATTCTTTAATTTTTTTTAACTTTAATAATACAAGTCTTAGATTGCACTGTCAGGCTATTTAGTATATCCATACCTTTTATGGAAATGATTGACAATAAATAGAGTTCAGAGGAATCGCATGTGTTTCACGCGATTACTCTGATGCATTTTTGTAGTGAAGGTTATGATGGAGAAGAAGTATTATACTTTATTATAGGATTCGAACTAGTGGGTATGGAAGGTTTAGAATACTATAAATCACTGAAATCACAGAAGGTACATCTAATTTCGCCTAAATCTAAAATCCACTGAAATTCACAACCCAGAAGTAGCTTCCTATGAATCAAGTTAACATGAGCAGAATCAAAATAGGTTAAGTTGAAAATTTTAAATTCCTTTAATTTTTAATGGTGTGCTTTCACCATTGTTGGATTCAGGAATTTTCTGAGGGGGAGGTCCCATTTTCTGAGGAGGTATTTTAATTGTTTGATTCGTCTAGTATTTTGTCATAAAACGGTGGTCAAAAATTCTTAACCGGAAAATTTATGTCTATGAACCTAAAACATGACTTTTAAAAATTTTTTTTTCCATGAATTCAATTAAAAATAGTCTCAATTTGATCACAGCAATCTAGCAACTACGTTCTGTAATAATCTTCTGATATTTAGCAAATAAATAAAGAATGTTTAGTTTAAATCTTTTGATTTATTAATTTTTTTTAATATCAAGTATAAATAAACATTAATTGTTAAATACAGTTCATTTTTCAATCAAATTATTGACAATAAAAGTGCCGATTGTGTAGCTACTTTTTTTAAGATAAATCCCCCTCCCCCTCTTCGATCCACCCTCTTCGATCCACCTTCCTTGATCTGCTGGTGATCAGAACTTTTATGGAATGGACGCAAAGTTTAATTATTATTATTATGATTTTTCGAGATCCTGTGGCCATCTTCTTTTCAAACACCTCGGAGGATTATCGGGAATAGTTTGGAATGAAAGTATACGAACTACACAGAGGGATAGGTCATGAATTATATAAAAATTGTGAACTTATTGGAAATATATGATGTTCATTCAACTGAAATACTGATCAATTATCCCCTGAAACATCATCATGAAATTGTTATAATGAAGAAATGAGAAAATTCAAATGAAGTTTAAAATTGCCAATTCGATCTATTATTTACTTACTGTGTAGTAATTTTCAATACGATCTATTGGAAATGGGAACTTTCTAGCCAGACTGAAGCAAGAAAAGAGCAGAATTACAGGATTTCTAAATCTTTGAGATGAATGAAGTTTGTTATTTCTTGGATTGAACAATCGACTTCTCAAGCCAGTTTAACTTATGTATAATTTTATTATTTTGTTTTATTGTCAACTGTTAGAATATTTTACTGAAGATAATTTTATGTATTTCTTTCAAATGTAAATATAATCAATTTATTTTAAAACTTTGCAATAGTTCCATTATTTAATCCTTGAAGAATATATATTATATACACACACAAACATATGTATATATATGTTTATTGAATATTTACCGAATTTATACTAATTTAATACATATACAATAAAACACCATTCACATGTTCATACATTTACATCCACATTATAGAGTTAATCCTCTTTGTTCTTTGAGGAACAGAATAATACCTAATACTTTTTTTAGAAATATTTAAATTATTATATTTTTGTTTCAGAGTTATTATTTTATTTTATTTTTTAACTATTGCCAATGTTTAGTGGTCTACAGTAATTGCATACTTTGTTTCAGCTACGAAAGTATGAAGAACCTATGCGATCGCTTCAATAGGGCTATAGATAGCATGGTAGCTTTGGTAAGCACTTAACATTTTAAGATTCAATAATGGTACAGGTGTGTAATGGTTTTTTAACCATTTTTTTAATCCAATGTTAATTCAACAATGTCCATTTGTTATCATTTGTAGCATAATAACAATATTTATTTCTTCGCTGTATTTTATTGAAGAATATATAATAATTAATTGATTTTGACGAGTGGTATAAACTATTCTAGTATCTAGTATAAATTTTCTATGTTTTTAATATTTTTAGAAATAGGTCTAACATCCATGTTTGTGGACCCGTAAGAAAGTGTTATCTATAATCTTTATACATTATTTAAACTGATGTATCTAAACAAATATTTAAAATTGTGTATTCAAATATGTATGTATATATAAATACTAAAATAAAATTTCAGGATATATAAGTGGACGTTATCTAGTTCAGGACTATTAATCATATATTTTTAAAACTTCGGCTTTTTCTATGAAATCATAATTATTTAAATCATACAGGCTTTTTATGTGAACTATGTATAGTATATTATTAAAATCTTAAATTATCCTATCAATTTAAACTGTCAGTTTTTAATGTGTCCTATATTAAATTTGTTTGTCTTTTTTTTCCAGCAATAGTTGAATGGAATATATTTCCTTCGGGGTGATAAAATCAACAGCAACTTATTAAAAGTTTAAAACTAATATTTTATTTTAGAAATAAAATTTAATTTTATTGATAACATTTTTTAATATTTGTATTTATTTATTATGTTAGTGTGCAGTATATGAACTAAAATCTATTAAGCTTGATTTAATTCTATTGATTCTATTTTAAGTGAGTTTTATACAAAAATTACATCAACCATGATAAAATCAAATTGAAATGAGTTAAAAAAATATATTATCTGGAATAAACCATTTAAAAATAACTTTTCTATGCTTCAACCATATTCTGATATTTTAATTGCAAATTTATCCTTCATGTTTTGTCGTCTGGATATTTTTAATTTTCCTATTAATTTATTTATAATGTCCATTATTATTTTCTCCAGTCTTTTATTCTCTGATTATTTTATTATTGGATCAATATTTTGAATATGAAAAATAAATAAGTAATATTTTATCGATAGAAATAGAAACATCACTTAATAAAATTAATTTAAATAAATAATTAAATAACAAATCTTTTAAAACTTCCTCTGATCTATTTGACCCTTATTACATTCGACAACGTTTCGGCCTCAAATGTCTTATCTTTGAGTCGGCCTTCATATTTATTTTTGATGTTGTATGTTCGTTTTATATGAAACAAGTTATTTTTCTTTTATCGGTTTTTTTTTTTTTAATCTGGTATAATGTTCATTTTTTATATGTACATTAAGTTTTTATTCTTAAACCTGCCTATCTGAAAATGCTCAGAATTGTATAAAATAAGCATTTTTTTTTTATCTATCGAAATAGCAGCAACGTTTACGTTTTTTTAATCCACTTTTTTAAATTTGTTATTTTATTCTTTAATTTTTTTCCAGCTCAGTCATTTGATAAACTGTTGATATTTTTCTCATTTATTCTAAGCTTAAGTTATTATTTTAAATTATAAACAAGGAAAAAATCTTAAATTTGTACATTTTCCGAAGGAAAATTAAACATAGCTTACATTGGAAGCTATCAGAAAAGTCATACTCAAATACAGTTTCCCTGTTGGATATCTCAGAGATATTTTAGATTTTGATCTATGATTTAGGTTATAGTGTGAATTTGTTTTTTTCTTTCTCTATTTAATTTGCAAATATTTTACGCGTTCAGGATCCGCTGGTTTTGATATGTGCCAGCTACTCAGTATACAGAGTAGGGCGTGGCCACAATTTCGTGGAAGATTGTAGACCGATGTAACATAAAATAAATTTTATAATTCAGTTGGTCTCAAATCAACTGAATTTAAACTATAATAATTACGAAACTTTATTATGTCTAAAATTAGCTGATTATTTATTTATTTTCGACCCAAAGAGGAGTAAAACCTGGAGAATTAGTCAAACCTGTATTGGACTACTATTTTCTTTTTGTATTAACTATTCACAATTATATATTTATTTTCCGAAATAAAATTATCTATATCATAGAAAAAATAAAATAAAATAAGAGGCTTCTTTAAATTAAGGGAAGAACTTTCGCATATAAATGGGGTTTTCATTCTAGATTCTCAAACACTTTATGTTCTTATCGTTATCAAATGTGGAGTGTCATTTTGAAATATGAAATAAGACGATCCAGGAACTTCAGTCAACCACAACGAAATGTGTTGTTTTAGTGTTGGATATGTTGTATTTTCCGACGATAAAAGGAAAACTTATTGAACGAAACTTTCATACACGACATTTCATAACGACGTGCATGTAAGTATAGGGTAAGTTATTATCTCAAAATTAATTACTTTCAGTTCTTGAAATTGTAATTGGTTTTGTGATGTTGAATTGAACTTACTCTTAATACTGATTTTTTTATTTTGCCATATCTTTTGAACATTTGCGAAACCACAACACCCCGTTACAAATTAATTAGTTATATTTCATTCATCATATGGAATTCATCCATGTCCTTTTCAAGCATGGCATGGTACATACACCATTTTAACCTCCCTAACGTACATTTTTTGCTTTAAAATAAAATGTAATTTTAATCCCCGAGTTCTCAAAACATCTCGCTTCCTATTTTTTTAAGTTTTATTATATATATTTTTTAACTTTTTAAGCATCCATTTTTCATTTTATGGATTCAGCTATATAGTTATTCATAAATCGGTATTAGGCGAGTAGCTAAATTATGTTTTTATTACCAACGATTAGTTTAAAATTTTAAAAAGCGCCCGCTTACTCTGAGCAGCCATAATCCATGGATCTATACCGATTTGTCGCTATCCTTGATATCGAGTTGTCGGAGGGAAGAACACTGCCAGATTGGCCCAAAAGGGATCGGCTACGAAGCTATCGAGACCATGGTTCGTAGCAACGTGAGGTTGGCTGACCCTCTCCGCACTATCTGTGCTCTCGCAAGTAATATATGTCTCGCGGTCAAAGGTCTACATGGTCTATAACGCTTACCGAAAGAATAAAAAATATTTTTGGTCATGCTCGATTATAATGTTTCTACCCGAGACACAAATTGTTCTTGTTATCTATCTCCACTTCTCAAGAATTTAAGGAGATAGAAGAGATAATACATTACTTATCTTATTTTAGCATAGGACATCAGTGGAAGTCTTGTGCAAAAAAAAAAATCTTATTTTATTAATTATCATTATCAAGGTTTCATAATATTGACATTCAAGAACATCCAGACCAGCGTTCGGAGTTACCAGAAACCGTTGGGACGATTGGTTCAATCCATGATAATACCAAGTGATGAAAAATACCCGATATCTTTCTGAGTTCTGATTACTTAGTTTAATTAATAATGGATCATTTAATAACGTAATTAATAAAGTATATGTTCTGTTAACATTTTTTTTTTTTTTGAGGAAGGAGGGCATTGCCATGATTTATATTCATTTTATGGTTACCGGGGCCAGAAGTAATATTTATTTTCAATTCATTGACTGCAGTTTAAAATTATATTTTTCCAACCAAGTGCAAATATTTATTGTCTGAAAAAATAAATTAGTTCATTTACATAGACTTTTATCCCGTTATATTGTATAGGCAGTCGATTATGGGACATATTTAGCTCCTACAGTAGTATTATTCAAGGGCACTCAATGTTCTTATATATGGTTTGTCCAAGGAACATATAAGCCCTTATAATTTAAAGATTTATTCAACTTCAAACGACTTTTCGAGCTCATTTGCTCATTATCAAGTTATCAAAAATTGTCATCCACGAAAATATATTTCTATATTATAATTTCATTTTCGATACACCAAATTCAAAAAATAACACAACTCCTCGTCTCATTGTTTGCGCATTTACTCTAAAGCTTGTCCATTCCATAGAAACTCGGCACTACATCCTTCCTCTATTGTTTAACATTGTCTACTACCTATTATTGGACGTTTCGGCCTGTATCTTAGACCCTCTTGTAGGATATAGTGCTTATTATATTTTTTTTTTTCATCTACTTGTCTTCTATCTCATTGCGGTGGGATGTCTCGATTCCTTTGTCATCCTAACAAATGTATGAATTGTTGTAAAAAAAAAAATGTAAATGTAAATACTGTCACTCCGGAAAATTATTATTATTTTTTTTATCAATGCGAGGTAGAGATTTAGAGATTAGTATGCTATACCACCCGTTCACAAGGTGACCATCCTGACGCCATTTTTGTTCCTCTGTATGACTGTTTGTGTCCTTCATATTAGTCATGCTTCTCTTACCATGTCTTTTATCTTAATGCAAACCGTAACCTTTTCCATTGTCCTCTCAGACCATTTTGGGACCTATTTATATTTTATTGATTTTAAGAGCAGAAATTAAAATATAAAAACCTAGGCAATCTTAGTTTCTCAAAATTAAATACAAAATCCTTCGACTGCCAATAATTTTTCCTTAGAGGTGTCAAAAATATGCTCTGTACGATTATCTTAAATTAAATCAAATGTAATCATTGAACCTTATATTATTATATTAGTTAAATCGGAAATGAAGAGCTATTCTTTCTTAACCGCAGATATCGCTCAGAGCACTAGCGGATCCAGAATTTAATTTTGGGGGGGCTTCAGCCCGAAACCTTTTTTTTTCATAAAAATAACGATAATTAATTTGGAAAAACAGAAAGAAACTAACTACCTATATGAAATGGTGTTTAAGTGATTCCTTAAGTGATTTTAAATGTAATTACACGAACAGTAATACTTTAAGAGGTATTTTTTAAAAAAAATTTCCCATAAACATGGTTATATTTTTCCATTTTGGGAGGGGGGGCTTCAGCCCGAAAGCCCCCCTCCCCCGTAGATCCGCCCGTGGTTCAGAAGTTTCCAGTAGCTTTACTAAGCCTTCAGTTCCTACAAATTTTCAAGGAAAAAAATTTATAATACGT